GCATTGCAAAAAAATTATTCTATTCCCCACAGTGAGGAAATAAGAGTAAACCTTGACAGTTGCTTTAAATCTTCTTAGTTAGAAAATTATTAGTGAATTGTTGGAACTGTGCAGAGAGGTTCACTGTTTAAAATATTTTTATAAGGGCAACAGTACGGAAAGGCAGTAAATTAACTTTATGGTTTAGTAGTGAATAAGTGAAATAAAACTACGTGAATTAAACCAACTTTAATATTTTTTTTGTGAATAAAAATGTAAAGTTGCCCCACAAAACAGCAGAAACAAAAACATCTATCTGTTTTATAGAGCGATTCTCAGAGGTTAGAAGTGTGCTTTCTGCTATTGTTCAGTAACTTATCACATAGAATTGCCTGACAAGAGGACTTTTTGTCAACTTTCATCGCGAACAGCGAGAATATTTCAAGTTTTAGCACTGCTCGTGCTTATCAAAAGTGAAAAAATTCAAAAAGAGCTATCTTTTAGTCGATGATTGACAGCCAGTTTCTTACGATATTTTAGCAAATAAATTACTAACTTTAATAACTTTTTAGTGATCATATGCAATACCACTTTTCCTTTTATTGTTTTTTTCAAAAAAATGATCAAAAACCAGTTCTTATTCTAGGAAAATTTGAAAACAAAATTACAACCATATCATTTGCAAAATCTATGTTATTATATTGATTCAGAATGGTTAAAAGATTGACCGAAAGTTGTCAGTAGTGATTAACACTGTTGGCATTCAAAAAAGAGATTTATAAAATCGAGGTAAAGGTCACCATTGTCCAATAATACAACTTGCATTCTCTTCAACTCTGAATGATATAATTCTTTAAATTAGGAGGGTAACAAGAATTGACTTGGTGTCTGCACCAAAAAGGCTGCAACGCTGAGGGAATTTATCTCGAAAAACTTTCTAGCACTGTGGCTTTTTAGAATTTTAAATAAAGACCAAACTAACAAGTTTAATTGTTGCTATAGAAGTTGTCGAAGCTGCGAAAAGTCCTCTGTTTTTCTTCTCCTTCCACTTGGTATTTGTCTACTGAGAAACTAGGTGATTTGTTTTCATTGTAGTCCGGCATTTTACTTAATAATTTATTGTGAGAAGTTATGCGAGGGGTTTCTTGATTTTTGACTGGAATTTTTACGTCTCTGGAATCATATCTGAAGGCAAAAGGTTAAGTGATCATGTAAGAGAACAAACCAATGATTTGGTACAAAAACAACATTATATAGTAAATTAAATTATTTAAAAACATCCAAGAGAGTAATCTGGGAATTGCCACTTTTGTTGTAAAATGACCGTAATAAATACACCTGCTTTTTAAAAAAGCTTTTTTGTTAATCAGAACCATCTTTACACCACGTATTGGGCAAATAAAGGCATGAAAGGAAGACGAAGTTAAAGAAGACATTTAAGAAGGGCTTACTGTGTTGTAAATTATCGCTGAAACTTTGTAAAACTGCCCAGATGTTGATACAAAATGTTATCAACTTACAACGTATAATATGACCTAATTCCATTACGTGCCCCAGTTTTATGCAACGAAAGTGTAATCGCTGCACTTCGGTTGACAAAATCGATAAACAACGGCAAAAGGAAAAAAGCGAAAACAGTTCTTAAACAGTGTTCCTTGACTCCGTCACAAAACTGGAAAATTTCTCCCCTCAAAGAAAAGCATTAGTTAGAAGGTGTCAAGTTCATTATGAACGAACATATTGTTTTTAGCGTTTGATATATACTGTGTTTTGACGTTCAAAGGCCAATAACTGTTGAAGTGTTCTTAGCGGTCTAAATTCAGTAATATTTGTTTTTTTCATTTTACTTCAATTTTTTCAATTTATTTGTTTTACCAATAGATAAGAAGCGAATCTTTCACTTGCGCTTCTATGCATAAGAAGGGCATAAGACTGATAAATAACAGAATGTCATTAAAAATCTGTAATGATTGATATAATTAATCTTTACAAAGTGAAAACTAATACAGCAGAAAAGAAACGATAGGAGAATACCGAACATTGTGATATCTGAAGTTCAAAAGCTCACAATTTTTTACCTTTATTTCAAAATGCAAAAATAATCACTAATTTTACTCACGTTAGCCACATTCAAAATACGATCAAGCTACTCACTTCTTGAGTAGACATGTTTTGAGAGAAAAAGTACAACAGTTTATTTAGTTAACTAACTCATCTTTTATCATCTAGAAACTTGACTCAAATAACTGCACTCTATTTTCCACTCAGTGTTTTTTTTTTTAAATTTTCCAGATTTGGTGCTAAAAGTATATTACTTGCGAGGCTATTTCAAATTTTACCAACTTGCTTTGTAATAAATCTCTGCTTTATACTAGTTTCTGATTCTTCATTTTCATCTGCAAGAAAGTTTGTTTCTCAAATTATAAGCCTTATTAGAGAAGGTGAGGAAAATAATATGACGCTTAGTGAAAAAAACCGTACATCATTGAGTACATTAAACAGAGGACACTTCAATACATAAGCTTTGATGCCATCAAGGTTTAGTTTTCAGAACCCCTCCTCGTAGAGAATTAAAATAGAGGCATTCTTTTAGTGAGACGTCCCTGATACTTTTCTAGTTCGCTTAATTTGCCTTTGAACAAAAACCTGTGGTTTTAGTATATCTGTGTTTTACGAAGAGGAAAGAAAGCTGCTGTGGCCGTGAAACCCCAAAGTAGTTGTTTTAACAGAAACTGTTCCACTTCAAACCTCTCACTTTTTTAACTGTAATTTCCAGTTTTCTAAATTTGAATTTTCATCCAAGTCTACAACTCCTTTATGATGTAAAATTTACTTCAAGAAAACAAGCCTTTTTTCGAGTATTTTTTAAAATATATAACTTTCCTTATCTTATAATTCAGCAGGTATTGGATTATCTGATAGACTGAGAGTTTTGCTTTTTATGAGGAATTTTATCCTTTTCCCTTCAAAACTGGCTTCAGAAACAAAACTCCAAACTAAGATTAGCTACAGCTATTTAGAAAGTGCACTTGTTTTTTTACACAAGCAAAGAAAGCCTTGAGCGTACGTTGTTAACTTAGCAAAGAAGGCAGTTTCAATAAAATTATTTATCGCATTTTTATCTTAACTGATGTTTTTGAATGCTACTGGCAGTAAAGGAGATCTTGAAATCTTTTCTGAGAAAGTTTATTGTACAAAATTCTACTTGCCAGGAGGTGTTAAAAATCTGAACCAGAAACTACATAGAATCTAGAGCTATGAGAGTGAAAATTAGAGTGATTTTGTAAAACCCTGTGGTGTGGCTTGAACTAAACTTTTAGAACTGTTGCATGCTGCGACGTCATTTCCTGCGGTAACGATATTTGCATTGCAAAATTAGTGGAGTATTACAGAAACTTTGAATTACTGATAAAAACTTAAAATTTTGCTATTTCCTGCTAAGTATGACCTCTACCGCACAAGTTTTTTTCAGTAAATTTAAGTTTCTCCTATTCTTAAGTGTTCTTTTAAGTCTTTTCCTTTCAATGTTTATTCTGAAAAACACAACTGAGTACCATGACAGACAGAACAATTGGCTGTCAAAATAGATTGCAAATTACTGTAGTTCTTATTTTAAAAGTTGTGAAAGAAGCCACAAGCACTCAAAAAAATTAATGTTTCTTAAATTCCTTGCTCTTTGAGAGCATCAACTGGTTGCAAATCCTTGAAACTCAACATTCTAAGATGACCTCATTCACTTTTCTAATTATAAGACTTTTTTGACTAAATTCAAGTATAACGTTAAACATGAATATACAGCTGTATAGCTTGCCATAAAATATCAAATTTTCAAAAAAAAAAGAAAAAGTTGAATGCATTTCAGACCTGAATATTCAAAGATACTGTTTGAAACCACACTAAATATTCTTTAGCTTTACCTGTTCAGCTTTCTTCCTACTTCATTTTTCACTTCCAATTTCCGACAGTTTCACGTGAACTCACGCATTTTTTTAAAAATGTTGTCCTAAAATTTCTTAAAATTTTGAAAATTTAACTCAAATTTCATAGCAAATAATAGCTTGTCAACATCTAAAAATCCTCTACTTTTCAATTAATATCAGATCCTTAACTTCGCTGTCTACAACTAAAGTTAGCTGATTCTGAATTAAGACTAGAGCTTTTCTATTGCAGATTTAAAGCTAAAAAACTTCACACATTTCGTACTTCAATAACCAAAATACAAAAGAAACTTTACAAACTTGCAACAAAAAAGTTACCCGTTTCAAAATGTGTAAATTGTAACATTCAAAATTACACCCAGTTAAATGAGCCAGGGCGAACAATTCAGTGAGCCTTTGACAAAATTCAACTTCTAAGTTGACTCTGTGACAATGTATTTAGCCATAGCCTACTAAGGAAAACGCGCATAAGTCGACAAATTTGACGGACAAAATGAAATAAAGTCAGAACAGTGCTGTACATGTCAGGGCTAAAGCAGTACGACTAGAAAAGTGCATTTCGCAGATTTCACTTCTACCTAAAATCGAGGTTTTTTTTGGCAGTACCAAAAAAAAAGAGGAACAAAAAAATTGACTTTTCAGAAGTCAAGGAAACTTAGTTTAAATGTAGAATTTTAGTGGAATAAGCCGAATCTATCCATCAGGTTCAGGGGACTGTAATTTAGATCCCATAAATCGTACACTTTTCTTAGGCCACGAAGATCCCACGTCATAGCCCTCAAAAAAAATTAAATTTTATTTTTTGTTAATAACTTGTAAGGTATATTTTTATTGCAGTTCGGTTGTACATAAAGGAGATGTAAAAGATTTTTAATTCAAAATGTGCAAAAACTCAGCTTTTGGTTTTTCCTACCTGATTGTGTCTGTCGATAGCAAAAATCAAAAAACTTAAAAGAAGCCGTAGTTAAACAAAAAAAAAAAAA